TTCTGGGAGGCCGTGATGACTGAAGTGGGTCCCGTTGTGCCATCCATGTTCAAAACAAAGCAACCATGAAGTCTTCGTGCCACTGCCAGATTTTCATTTTCTCCACCTCTGGTTTACAGGAAAATATGACATTACACAGGTAGCAAAAGGTGAAAACACCCTCTAGGCTGCTGCCGATTGACTGTCTCAAGGGAAATAAAAAGTTGCTTCCTGCTCCAGCGACTGCCATTAGCGTGTGAGGTCTCCAGACAGTTTTCTGGCTCCTCGTGAAGTTCGCAGAACTCAGGGGCTCCCTCTTATTTCATCAGCAACCATTCCCAGGACCAGCTGGGCGACAGCCGATGAAGTGGGAGCAGGGGCGGGTCTGGGAGGGGAGAGGGAGGAGGGGGAGGCTCAGAATGTCTGCCGTGGGCCTGTCAAGAGCACTGGACATGGTTACCCACCCAGGGTACTTCCTGCCCTCTTTGGAAAAGCGAGGTCTTGTGTTCTGGAGCCCACCTGAGAGCAGGAGCCAGCGTGGGGAACAGCGTGCCTTGGCGCCGGGCTCTTAGTGTGAGTTTGGGGACTCACAGGTGTGGACAGGTGACTCGGATTCTGATTTGGGTGCCCCTGAGAGAGGACGCAGGCCTAACACCGCCTGCCGTGAGCTTTGTAAACGCTCCTGGCTCTTTATAAAATCTCCTGTTTCTTCTCTTCTCAGCAGATATCTCTGAAATCATAACTGTCTGGCTGAGAAGGTAATTTGAAATATCTGGCTCTTTACATTTCTTTTATTTAGAAACTGTCTCTGAAAGAAAATACCCTCGATATCTGTTAGATCTAGAAGAATTTTCTTCTCAAAGTTGAATGTTTGTTTAACTTTTCTTCACACCAGTAAATGGCATTTATATACTTTTAGGCTTGACACAGAGGGGTGGGTTCTGATATAGTTTCCCTTCGTTTGGTCTAGATTCTTTTTCCATTTGGATATAATGTCTCAACCTTGGGGATTTATTTTTTCCTTTCTAGTTTTTATTATTCTATAAACCTAAAAGTAAAGAAAAAAAATTACCCGTAAGTCCGCTGAGTAAATCAGTGGCAACTTGCCTAGAATAAAGTTTAGTTTATGGATCCTTGAATCGTCTATCTTTTTCACAGGGTTAGTTTGTTGTCTAGTTTTTATGCCAAGACTTTAATTTGGGTGACTTGCTATCTAGACACCCTGGAGTGTTGTGTTTTCTTTGGGATGCATTCTACACAAGGCCGAGAGCCTTCATTAAGGGGTTAATAGCCTGGACTCTAGTGAGCTACATCAGAACTTTCATGGTTCTAATTTAGAGTAGGAACTTGTCTCAAATGACCTTAATCAGCTTTGTTGGTGGGATTAGGGAGAGGCCCAAAGTTTCTGTTCATAACTGCACCTCAGAGGAGAGAACGCGTGACACAGTTGATCTGACAGTGGTTTGTACGGGTTTCAGTAATAGCCTGGAACTATCCAATCTGAGTCGTCTTTGGAGGACACTGCTGAAACCCGGTAGGAAGCACCCCTTTTATCAGGAAAGCCACCTGAAGGGACGGTCAGGAAACGAGGACAGCATGGGGGCCTGGTGTCCACGTAGGCAGGGCCGGGTCTGTCTGCTTCCCTTCGTGGGCCGTTTTGCTTTCCTGCGTGTTCCACAATTGATTTTGCAAGTTTCAACTCTGTTCTCCTTTCTGCAGATGTGAGGAAGGCAGATACTCAGTGCTTGGAGGGAGAACTGGCTGGTCCAAGGGTTCCTGGGGGAGCGGGAGGGCAGGATGCCTGTGCCGCCTCCCGGGACTGGCCCAGGCCGCTAAGGCCTCTCGCCTGCTTCCAACTGTCACTCCGTAACCCGTTTAAAACCGAGTTTTCAAATCCTGCCTCATGATGAAACTGACGTATGTGGATAAAACCAGTGCTTTTCATAACTTGATTCTGATGTAGTTTCCTCTAAAAGAATGCTAGGGGTCGAAATTATTTGTATATGTTGAAATTTGTAGGGGTTCAGGAACCCGTGGCAAAAACACTTAACTATTTATTACAGGTATGACTGTATTTTTTCTTTTCCCAAAGTAGGTAATTATGTCTTTGTATATTTTAAGACAAATAATAATCACTTCACCTTTGGTGCCTTCCGTGTGTCAGTCACATGAACACTCTTTGTCAATCATGGAATTGAAAAAAAAAAGATGTACATTTAGTTAAACAAGATAACACTATTTTTGTAGCATGATTCTAGATTGTGTCCTTTTAATATTGCTTCCAGCAATGTTGGTTTTGAGGTTTGGTCGTTTTCCCTTTAAACTTCATTATATATCTTAAAAAAGAAGAAAGAAAAAATACCCCAACCCCCCGGCTTTTCCTGTCTTGTTTTCTGCTGCTTTCTCCCCAACATCTCGTTTCTGCTTATTTAAACAGTCTGAGAGTAAGAATATATTTCTGTGAAATAGTGATTAATCAGTATAACTACATTTGGCATTTTTTAACCCCTTTCTCAGTTTGAACAGCCACTGCTCATCTCAAACAGTAAGAGGAAAGTGGTTCCATAAAAAAAGAACAGAACATTCTCGGTGCTCTGACTTCCCCTTCTTTGGGTCTAAAACGGTGAAAAAAGCCCTTTCTCTGGCTGGTGTCTGTCTTCCAGATCAGCTCAGGCCGCCGTCCTCCGCCTTGGCCAGCCTCCCTCTGCCTGCGTGAGACGTGCTGGGGGGCGGGGGGGAATCTCTGCTGGTCTCAGGCTCACCTTCCACTCGGATCTCAGATTGGTTTGTGGATGCCCTGGGTAGGTTCCGTGGCCCTTCCTGGTTTCCCGCCCAAACATAATAGATTCCCTGCTGTGACGAGCTTGATGAAATTAAGACACAGAGGACGTGCTGGCTGCTCTTTTTGCTTTCCCACCCCTGCAGGACTGAGTTATGTCTGGTCAAGAAAAGTCTTGAGTAAACTCGCTGAGCCCATTTAAAATGAAGGAATGGATTTATTAAAACATAAAACTGTAGCTCTTGTGTGTGTGTGTGCGTCGCTTTGAAGGGTCGGAATGTGTCATTTTCTAACAAAGGAAGTCGAGTCAGATGGCTGATAATTCCCATGTGATTACTCGGTACTTGGCCCAGTGATACTTGGGAGAGGGGCAATGTTAATTTAACAACTACTACACTTTGCTTCTTAAAAGTCTATTTCCTTTAACAGTGTAGACACAGCTGCGGGGCGCCCTGAGGTGACGCCTGTTTGGCAAACTTTGGTTTACGCTGTTGGTAGGTCAGAGCTCCCATCCTGGCTTTTGAAGCTGGTGTGGATGCCCTGGGGTGGGCACCACCCGGCTCCCACAGGCTCCCACGTTTGACTCTATTCATTTGGAGTGGTTTGGGGGCCCCAAAGCTTTTGCTCCTGTTGGTTTGTCCCTGACAGCAGACAAAGCCTCGTGCTGCCCTCAGTTTTCCCTCTTTATTTCTTTTGAAGGACCAATTTTTCACGGTACTTGTCCTGATTGTTTTCATAGTGTTCAAATCTGTATTTTTGTATGTAGAGGGAAATAATTTTCTCAACACTAATCACTAATAAATACTGTATTAAATTGTCATGAAGGAGTTCTTGTTTAATAAACGGACATGTAAAAACAGTGTCATCTCTTTCTTCGCTCTGCCTTGCCTCCCGCCCCTTCAAAGGCTGTGGCCCGGATCCTGAAACACGCCCGTAGGGCGGGGGTTGAACGCAGCCACGGTTGGGGGTGAGGACTCCGCAGTGTCGCTGTCCACAGGCGGCTTGGCTGGTCCTGGCTGGGCCTGGTGAGGTGGGGCCACACCCACAGGCCCGTTGGCTTCTGCACAGTCGACTTTCATACGTGTTTTCAGAACACACTGTGTGTGAAAGTTGGGGCAGAATGCCTCGATCCTTTTCCATCGCCAGGGCCAAAGCGCTGACTTACCACGAGACGTGAGCCTGATGCGTGGGTGAGACCCTGGGCCTCTTGTGAGGACCTGGGCAAGTCACCGAACCTTCCATCAGTTTCCTGAACTGTGAAAGAGGATTGTGTGAGGGGTAGAGTAAACGTGCCGACGCCTAGCGGGGGCCTGGCGGGGAACAAGTGCGCGTGCATCACTGCTGTAACCTGGAGCTGCCAGGATCCACACGGCGCGTGGGACCACCCTGTGCTGACGCATGATGCCCAGCAGCGTTGCTCCGGGTGTGTGAGGTTTTTTTCAAACACACACACTCCAAGCAGGAAGTCAGTCTGATTTAATCCATTATGGCTTTTTTCAGGGTAGGAGATTCACATGCAAGAGAAGAACAGAGATTACAAATGTCCAAAACATGGGTCCAGAACTCTGGCTCACTCACAAGGCCTCTTGGGTCACAGGAAATGCCATTTAAGAAGCTGCTTTTGTGTAAAAAAAAAAAAAAAAAAATTATAAAGTTACAAAATCCCATTGAAGATACATGCACAGCATAAGGTCCTTAGGTGAACACAGAAGGCACGTCTCGCCCCTCGTGAGGGTCAGGTGTTCAGAAGCACATTGTCCTGAGGGCCCGAGAGCCTCTGGCCTGCTGACGGCCCAAGGAAAGACAGGGTTTGGCTGGGCCTGCCCAGCTGCCCTGGGGGCTGTCACTGCCACTTCGTCGTTTGGAGCCCTCGATCTCTTGGACCTGGTAAGCTAGTCTACGAGCTCTTCTTGAAACAGTCTTAGACCCAGAATAGGCATGTCATCTGAAGAAGATATGGTCTCCAAGGGTGTAAAGTATCACTCATGGGCACTGGGACCCACTCTCTCCTAGATCATACAGCAAAGGCCACTTTTCTCCCTGCTTCAAGAATGAAGAGGGGGACTTCCCCGGCGGCGCAGTGGTTGAGAGTCCGCCTGCCGATGCAGGGGACGCGGGTTCGTGCCCCAGTCTGGGAAGATCCCACATGCTGCAGAGCGGCTGGGCCCGTGAGCCATGGCCGCTGAGCCTGTGTGTCCGGAGCCTGTGCTCCGCAACGGGAGAGGCCACAACAGTAAGAGAAAAAAAAAAAAAAAAAAAAAAGAATGAAGAGGGAACTGTTGCTCCTTGAACAAAAGAATCTTGGAAGCGTCGTTCTCGACAAAGTGCCTGCCGTGAGCAGGGGCACCAGATGCAGACAGAAGCCGCTGGGGCCCAGGGATGGCCCTCCGCCGGTTTCTGTCTTGTCTTTCCCCCGCACTCACCACAGCCCAAAGTGCTTCCTGCAATGGTATAACAAGGCTCTATCTGCTTTGTGCTTATTTTTGTCAGAGGTTCAAGGGCTTAAGGTCTGTGGGACAGAAATGAGAAGAGGCGGAACGATGCCCTTACGAAAAGAAAGGCTGGAGAGTGCTAAGCCAAGGGGTGTCATCATGTATGCCAGGCTCAGGAACGTCACCCTGGGGCTGTGAGGAGGCCTGTTCCGTCAGCAACTCCCGCTGCTGTGCGAGAAGTCACAGCCTCCCTCCCAACATGCACGGTCCCCTGGCCACACTCCGGCCAGCATGGTCAGGAGGTGCAGGAGCGGAGGCCTGCGTGGCTCAGGCTGCCAGGGCAGGTCGGGTCTTCAGTCGGAGTCAGAGTCGGAATTCTCTTCTGAAAGGAAAGCAAAGAGGATGCTTGGCAGGAGTTTCGGGGCCAGCGGTGCCTGGGAGCCATCTCCGGGGAGGCACTGTCAGCTGGGACCCGGGGCTCAGGCCGCTCCTGCAGCTGATGGTGCCGTGGGTGGCGTCTGCTTGGCGCGAGGACCATCGAGTGCTTGGGAGTCTCCGGGTGCAGTCGAATGGAGGTGGGGAGCCCAGATGCCCCTTGCTCTGGGGCTCCAGGCCCTCCCAAATCTGCCTGGGCTGTTCTTACCTGGAGGTGTCAGGGTTGTATATCTGCCCCCCAACCCGCAGTTCAGCAGGTCAAAATGGGGCTAGCTATTGCCTAAGAAACTAAAACATACTGGAAAATCAGGAAGCTTCTTTTTAGCCATTTCATAGCTTCAGTCGCCCCTGCCCCAGGATTTTCGATGTCACTTGCCTGGGGACAGCAGGCACTCAGTGGAGAGATGCCAACTCCAAGGCGGGGCCTACAGGCCCCTCAAAAGCCCCCCCTTGTCTTTCTGTCCAGCCACATGTCACTGCTGATCCTCACTGGACACGACCACCTGTTCCAGAGAAACACCTCACCTGCCCTTTATACTCTGTTGTCTTCCCTCCACCTGTCCCATTTTTTCTGCCTGCACACTCCTATACATCCATCAAAACCCAGCAATGGGGTCACCTCCACAGCCTCCTAGCTGGCACATAGGGTGGGTGCTCCCTCAGCTGCTTCATCCCTACCTCTGTTAGCTCTCGTTGTGCTGTTACGGTTGACATCTACTCTGGGCTCCTCGTGCCCCGCTTGTGCCGTGTGTGTACATCACCACTTTGTCTCTGGATCTAATTCCTGTCTGGGCTGAATTCCCTGAGGGCAGGTAGTTGGCCGTGCCCATCTGCACATCCCTAGGGCCCAGCATATGGCAGCCTCTGTAGGTGTTTGGGTCAACAGAGGCTGACAGAAGGGCCGCGAGGGATCATGGGACACCAGGCTGGGGGAGTTTGGTGCTGAGCCAAACATCCGATTTACTCAGTTGCAGGGAGCTGACATCTGCCTCTCCATTTAAAGCCTGCCTGGGGGTGTGGAGAGGAAGGGGCAAGTAAATGGCCTGGGCCCTCCGTCCCAGGTCAGCTCCTGCGCTTCCCAGCATTTCTGTGCTGGAGCCTCCACCGCCCCTGTAACTCCTGCCCCCTGGGCAGGGACCTCCACCTCATCTGGTGGCCTCCCCAGGCAGGAGAGCCCTGGGCTGTGACTGAGGAAGGCCTGAGGGAGATCACAAGCTCCAAACCAGCTTGAGCTTGGATGCACCCCTGTAGGGCCTCCAGCTGGGCACATGCACCCCGAGGATGTGTCACGTTGGTATGGCTGCTGTCACGGATGGAAAAACCAGCCATCTAACTTGCAGGGGGTTTTTTGTTTTTGTTTTTTAAATCAGGTAATGGCACAACAGCCATTCTGAGCTGAAGGATGGCTTGAGGGACCAAAGAGTCTGTGGCACTTTCTTTGGATCTAAGAAGTGAAACAAGCCCGAGCTTGACTGTGTTTGCCTGGGTGCTGCGGATAAGCACGAGAGCTTGGTTCGCTGGCCCTTAAGCTGGGGGCAGGCGAGACTGGGGAGCAGGGGCGCTGCTGTGGGACAGGCGGCCACGCTGCAGCCCAGTGGATGGCGTCCAGGGAGTTGAAGGCGAGTGACTGGCCACCCTGGGGGCTCGTCAGGGAAGGTTTCATGAGGAGGAGGTGCCGGGCGTGCCCTCAGCTTGCCCTTCCTGGAAAGGCTGAGGCCCTGGGGAATCCTGTGCTCCCCAGAGGGGACCGACCGGCTTTATGATCAGTGCCGCATGAAGGGATAGGAGAACCAGGCTGTGAAAACACTTCCTGCCCATGGGGAGAGAGGAAACGCTCTTACTCCAGCCTCAAACTAGCCGAGTGTCCCCAGGGGAGAGCAGGGCCCCTGCATCAACCGTTCCAGGTGATGCGCTGGGTTCCCTGGTGGGACCCACAGGGTGGCTACCTACCTTCTGCCTTGTCAGCTGCGGTCTCATCTGCGGAGTCCCCTTGTTTGAGGAATTTGGCCACATCGTTAAAGATCAGGTAGAAGTCAATTGCAAACACGATGGTGGCAAAGAAGCCAAACACCTGTGGGATACAGGGGACAGGGAGGATGGGACGCGTCATCAGGAACTGGGAGCCTGGGAATGCGGGGGGAGCAGCCGCTGCCCCATCCTCATAGCTTTGTTTTTATCTGCTTGGATAAGTAGCTCAGATTGGCGGACACAGACCCCTCCCGTTAATGACAGATAGGAAAACGAGCTGTTAACTTGGTTTGGCAAACCGCCTTTTCGAACTCTGGGCAGAGTAAATCTCCAATAAGAGGACAGTAGAGTCGCTGAGATCCACGTCAAAGTCCAAGGTACCTAGGCAGAGGCAGAATATGCCCAAGGAGCTAAGAGGGGCACCCACTTAGGAGTGGGGTGAACTTGAGTGGGGCATCACTGGGCATCGCCCCCTCCCAGGGGTAGAGTGGCTACTCACTCCGGCTGCTTTGGAAGCTCCGTCCGAGTATTTGGCCACAGCTGTGATGGAGATGGCGAAGTAGATGAGGGCCGCTGTGACACAGCGTAGGAAGTCCTGGGGAGAGAGAGGCATGGTCACAGCGCCGTGAGCTCCCTGGAGTGGGGCACAGCATGGGAAGGGGGCCGCTGGGAGCTGAGGCAGGAGAGAGGGGCTCAGAAGGGCACTGTGTGCCAAGAACAGGGCCGGAATCCCACCGTCAGAGGAGGATGGGCCTGGCAGCCTGGACACACGCGGCCCCCAGGTCCAGCGTCCACGGCACTCCCGCTCTCCCTGGTCCTCCCCCGACCTCCACCCTGCCCCTGCCCAGCGGCCCCCTGTAGGCTGCCGTCCTCTGCCAGGTGGACAACAGGGTACGGACCAGGCTGCAGCTCTCCCTGTGGCTTGGCCCAGATGCAGACTTCCTCGTTTGGCGGGCACGGAGAAGTTGGAAATCTTGTCACTGCTCCCTCTGGCTCTCCAGTAGGGAGATCTGGCCCCGGACCTTGCTTTGCCACATACTTGTGGCAGATCATTTATGTATCATGGTTTCTGTCTACCAGTCCATAAAATGGGGACAGCGGGTGCAGCCCATCAGGAAGAATGCCGGGTATGAAGTCAGGAGACCAGAGTTCAAGTGCAGCCTTTGCTGTACCTTCTCTCTTACCCATTTCATACAGCAAAGTCCGGGATGGGGTTCTGGGCCCTCCCAGGTGATAAAACAAGTTGTCAGGCGGCTGAGATCTGGGTAAGCCCTGCAAGTCCTCAGTTAACCTGCCCTGCCCCGTGTGGAAATGGCTAGAATTCCTGCGGCTAAGACTCATGCCGATGGGCCCAGTTGGGAACACCAGCGCCACCTGATGGCGAGGGGGGAGGATGCTGTCTGGGGTTCGTAGCCTCACAGAGGGACACTGGAGGCCCTGGAGGCAGGGCAATCTGCCCTGGGTCATGTGGCTGCCGTGCGGTGGGGCCTGGATCACCCGAGGCCAGGCCTACCCACCAGGCTCGACCAACTGCAAACGCCCCCTCCAGTGCATTGAAGAAAGGGTGAGGGCCGAAATGCACAACTCTCCGTGACAGCCGGTCAACCCCTTCCTCCCGGGGCCCCAGCCCTCACCATCATGGGCCAGCACAAGCCCTGCCACTTGTCGTTCAGCTGCATGGCATCAGCAAAGAGGAAGCAGAGGGCCAGCAGGAACTCCAGCAGGGGCGCCGTGAGGAAGGCGGATGCTGAGGACGCTACATAGCAGACGAAGGTGATGAACGAGAGACCCTGGGAGGTGGCGGAGGGAGAAGTCAGAGCCCGTGCACAGCCCCTCCCTGCAGGCAGGACTAGAGGAGGCTCCAGCAGGTGAAGTGACCTGCCCAGTCCTGCAGCTGCAGGATTAGAACTCTATCAGACGCACACCCGTGCTGCCCCCAGTGCCTCTGGGCATGGCTCTGCATCCTGACCTCAGGCCAGCTCCCTGCCGGGACCCAGTCAGGAAGCCCCAGCCTCTCCTGCGTCCAGCCCCCCAGGAAGCTGCCTCCTGGGGCTGCGCCACTCCCACCCACCCCAGAGGCTCTATGGCAGAATCCACCAACTCAGATGGTGCCCAACGGGAAAATCAAACCCAAGCCGTCTCAAAGGCAGTCCACTAAGCAGTAGCCAGTTTCAGAAAATTACACCCAAGATTTGTGCTTGAATGAAAAATTTACCTGAAAAACAATACACAAATGTGGTGCTTTAGTTAATGATATACATGCTGAAGTATTCAGAGTTGAAAGGTACTGATGTCTGCAATTTACTTTGAATGCATCAAAAAATAAAACGTTTTGATGGACAGATAGATATGTGATAAAGCAAATAGTATAATCTAGGTGGTGGGTATATGGGGTTTTTTCTTGGTATATTTGCAAATTTTCACAATAAGGCGAAAACATCCAGGAGAGGGAGTGGTGACCCTGACACTTCACGCCCTGCTGCGTCGTTTGTTCAGCCTTTGTGAAAGGTGGGGTGAACTGTAATGAGGAACTGATTAAGAATTAAAGTGTTTTCCGCAGCCCTGTCCACACACTGTGGGTGGCAACCGATGCGTGAGGATGCCGAGGCCCCGGCAGACCCGTGTGCTCTGAAGAGCAGACGGGGATGACAGGGCTGTTCACTGGACCAGTGCCTGCTGAGGCTTGTGGGGCCTCCTCAGCTCCTCACCACCACCCAGGCACCAGGCGCCGTGCACAGCCCACTTTGCAGATGAGAAGAGTGAGGTTCAGGGAGATGAAGTGGTGTGCTCAGTGACATACAGCTAAGAGGGCATCAGAATTTGAACCCTGGCTTGGCTGACTCCACATCTGGAGTTCTTAAGTAACACTGCCCTGTGGTTGCTGGCCTGTATCTGTCCTGGTTTTGGTCACTCTGGCTGGGTTTGAGCAGGTCCATGGCTGAGTAGCTCAGAGTGGGCCAGGGGGCTATGTGGAGATGACACCCAGATGCCCTACAGGAGGCCCTGTGGTAGCTTCAGACAAATGAGCTGAAGAGCACCCGTATCTGGTCTGAACATGACAATGGAGGTAGCTGAGCCCAACTTGAACAGATGGGAAACTAAGGCGTAGAGATGGGCTGAGAGGCTGCTAGGGCCTCCCAGGAAGGCAAGGCCACAGGACTCTGGCCTGGCCCTATCCTCTACTTCCTCTGCCAAAGGCTGTTCTGTCCCTCCTTTTCCTGTCCCCTACCCCCAAAGCCTGATTCTGGGGATCCCTCTCTCGATTCTGTTTCCTCAGTCCCTGATTCCTGGTGGCAACTTCCTCCCCCTTCCTGCCCATGTCAGCTTCCCCACTTGCTTGGGCCTGGGGGCAGCCAGAGGTGACCTGAGGGGGCAGGAGTGACCTCCAGTGGCTCCCCTTGCGTCTTCAGTGCCCACTCCTCCTCCGTCCCTCCTCCGCACTTCATCCTCCTAGACCTAGATTCTTGGCGCCCAGCTTTGCCGAGGGCCTCCTCTAGGCTCTGGCCAGCATCCCCCCCACCCATGAGGTGGGCCTGAGTGGGGTGTGGTTGGGGTCCCCTCAGGGGATGGTGGATTCAAGGCTTCTCCAAAAAAGTGGCTCCCATCAATCTCCAAAGTGGGGCTGCGTGGCCAACCAGGAGGCAACTCCCTGGAGTGTGAGCTGCGAGTCCTGGACCGTGATGCCTCATCTGGGAGTCCGGCAGGTGCCAGGCTGGTGACCTCTGGGCTGACCCCAGAGGCAGAGGAGGTGGTTGGACGGCCTCCTGCCATCAGCTCTGGGTGGTACAAAGGAGAGGCTGCGGCAGAACCCTCCTCTCTCTGATCCCTGCTGTCCCCTGGCCCTCAACTGACCCATGTCAAATCCCCTAGAGGTTCGGGCCTCAGCTTTCTTGTCTGCAAAGTGGGAATAATGACAGATTATCAAATTGCTGGAGATCTAAGTAACAAGTGCTCCACTCTTATCCCGCCTCCCCTCCGCTTGGCCTCTTCCTCCCCTTCCCTCCACAGAGGCCCAGCACCAAACCCCAACCCTACAGGCTGACAGTGCAGGAGTTTTCCGAGCGTCCCGAGGACAAAGGCCTCTTGACGGGCCTGGGGTGGGGGGCGGGTGCGGGAAGGAGGAAGGAGCTCAGCGGGGGCGGGACGGCTGGATCCTAGCGAGGGAGGGGAGGAGGGGGATGAAGTCACCCCGCTGGGCCGCCCCTCAGCAGCCTGGGTGGGGGTGGGCTCCCTGCGCGCCCCCCACTGTGTGGCCCGAGCCTCACCCAATCCCGGGGGTCCCCCCTCCCAGCTGGCTGGACTCCACTCTGGCTTCCGCCCTGCAGCTCGAGGCCCGGCCGGTCCTCCCTGAGCCCAAGAAAGCGGGCCAGGGAGCAGAGAAACGACCTGGGGTTCGCGAACGGCCGATTCCTCCCAGGCCCGGCCCGGGCGTGGCGAGAGGCTATGCGGAGCGGGGTGCCCCCGATGGAGGCCACAAGATGCGGGGACGCAGCCCGTCCCAGGGGCCCAGAGAGGGCGGAGGCGCCGGAGGTCACACAGCGCTGGGCCGAGCTCCCAGGGGCCCGGCCGCCGCGTCGGGGGCCTCCTCCCCAAGCTTCCCTGCGTTTCCCGCCTCGTCTCCGACCCGCGGCTGAGCTTCAGCGAGCCCGTCCCAAACCGCGGAAGTTTGCCGATCTCAGCCCAACTTCGCGGGGCTGCGAGGGGCACCGGCCGGGCGGGGCGCCAGGACCCGGGCGTACAGAAGGCGGCGCCCCTAGCCCTACGCCCGGGAGGTGCAGGCGGGAGCTGCCGCAGGGGTCTCCGCGCCGCCGGGAGGGGGCCAGGGGCCCGCACTCACCGTCTCCGCCAGCAGGAGGCGGCCTTTGAGCGAACAGAGGAAGGCGCGCGCCGGCAGGAGGGCGCGGAGCCCGGGAAGGGCCGCGTGGGGCTGGGAGCGGCCGGCGGGCTCGCGGTCTGGGTCGGGCTCCGGGTCTGGGGGCCACATGGCGGCGGCGGCCGCGGCTCGGCCTCGCTCTCCCTTACTCTGCGTACAGGAGGGAAACGGAAACCCTGACTGTGCGGAAGGAGGATCGAGCCAGACCAGTTGGGCGCAGGGGCTCATCCCGCCCCGCCCGCGCCCCGCCCCGCCCGCGCTCCGCCCCTCCTCCCTTCTTGCCCTCTCCTGCCCTCTCCTCCTCTCTTCGCCTCCCTCCCTCTCCCCTCCTCCCCCCTCCTGCCCCCTCCTCTCCTCTCTCCCCGCTCCTCTCCTCTCTCGCCTCTTACGCCCGCCTTCCTCCTCTTCCCCTCCCCTCCTCCCCCTCGGACTTTGGCTTTCGGGGCTGCTTAGGCCCTCGCTGGTCCAACTGGCAGTGATGCTGGCTTGGGGCTTCCTCAGGCTCACCCCCGCATTCTCCCCTCACCCTTGTCCTGGCGGCTGGAGACCTTTTTATTGCCGCCCCCCGTCGGAGCTCCCACCCATCTCTCCTTGCCCAGAAGATTGTCTGCATTCGCTGTCTCCAGTCTAGCTTCCTGCCCTAGCTCGCGTCGGGGATCCAGGAGCCTAGGCCTTCAAACAGCGAGACCTCTCTGTTGTCTTCCTGCGGCTTTCACCCCACTGTCAGCTCCCTGCCCCACTCCCTCTCTCTTTCTCCCCTGACCACCCCTCCCATCTTTGGCCAGCCCAGCCTCCTGCGGCCTCTTTGTTGTCTGCCCCAGCCCTGGGTTCGGCACCACCCCCATCTTCATCCCAGGAGGACTCCCAGATAGAGACCTCGGAGCCCCAGCCCTTATACAACACACACATGTCTCCAGGGCGTCTGGAGTTCAGTGTGACCAATACCCAGCCCATGACATTCTCACTATGCCTGAGCCTCTGCCAAGGGCACTGCCATCTGCCCTTCCACCCCCAAGAGCCAGAGACCTGGGGATTGGCCTCGTTCTCCCTGACCCCACCCTCACCTTCACCCCCCATCTATCACCAAGGCCCACACATCTTCGCCTCCTAAAGCTTTCTTAGATCTCTGTCCACATCTCATCACCACATTCTCCATTAGATCTCAGACCACTGCTGTCTCCTTCCTGGACTGTTGTGATGGTGTCTTTAGGAGGCCTCTCTGCTTCCTCTCTTGGCAGCCAGAGGGATGCTTAAATCATCAGTCACAGTCACCTCCATTCTCCTCACCTGGAAAAACCTTGGGAGCTTCCATCTTGCTCAGGGTCTGGGTATAGAGAGTAAAAACAGCCCCTTGCTACCCTTTCCTCTGTCTCTCCCACCTATAGAGCTTCTTATCTCCTCCATGCTCCCTCTTGACACAGGGCCTTTGTACATGCTGATCCTTCTACCTGGAATGCTCTTTCTCCACCGTGTTATCTGATTAACTCCTCCTTTTCTTCTGTGATCATACTGCATTGTCACTTTCTCAGAGGAGACTTCTGCAACCTTTCCAGCTAGGTAAGAGACATTCATTCACTCATTTATTTATTCATTCTACAGCAGTGCTAGAAGCCCAGGATGCGGGGAAACCCCAGCTTTGTTTGCGGGGAGGCTGGGTGGGTTAAACACTAAGCATGTCCAGAGAATCCTGAATAAGATGATTCCTGGTAATAGATGTCTGGCTGGTTCAGAGTGCAGCCAGGCAGCCTGTGTGGATGAAAGGACTGAGCTAAGGGCTGGGGGAGAAGACAAATCAGACAAGGGGGTGGAGCCACATTGTGGAGGACCAGGCCTTGGTGTTTGGATTTTACTCCAAATTCCCTGGGAGGAGGCCCGGTGAAGATTAGAACAGAGGATAAACTGGTTCTGATCTGTGTTAAGTAAAACATGCCTCAAAACTGTAACTCAATAAGAAGAAGAAAACAAGCCAATTTAAAGAATGGGCCAAAGATCTGAACAGACGATTCAACAAAGATATATGAACATCCAAGAAGCATGTGGAAAGATGTTCAATATCATTAGACATCTAAGAATGTGAATTAAAGCCACCATGAAATCATATGGTACTCTACACCTATCAGAGTGGCTTCGTAAAAGGGGACGCTGCTGTGTAAGTGCTCGTGAGGACGTGGAGCTACCAGAACTCTCAGACAGCACTGGCGGGGTGGAAATTGTTACCACCCCTTGGGAAGACAGTTCGACAGTTTCTTTTCTTTTTTTTTTTTTTTACATCTTTATTGGAGTATAATTGCTTTACAATGGTGTGTTAGTTTCTGCCTTATAACAAAGTGAATCAGTTATACATATACATATGTTCCCATATCTCTTCCCTCTTGCGTCTCCCCCCCCCCATCCCACCCCTCTAGGTGGTCACAAAGCACCGAGCTGATCTCCCTGTGCTATGCGGCTGCTTCCCACTAGCTATCTATTTTACGTTTGGTAGGGTATATATGTCCATGCCGCTCTCTCGCTTTGTCACAGCTTACCCTTCCCCTTCCCCATATCCTCAAGTCCGTTCTCTAGTAGGTCTTTGTCTTTATTCCTGTCTTAATGGCAGTTTCTTAAAAAGTTAAACAGAGACCTACCATATGACCCAGCCATTCTACTCCTAGGTATTTACCCAAGAGAAATGAAAGCACATGTCTTTACAAAGGCTTGTAGGAAGATGTTTATAGCAGCCCTGTTTTTAATAGCTCCCCCTGGAAACCACCCACAGTCCATCAGCAGGTAAAGGGATAAACTAACTGTGGGACATTTATACAGTGGAGTACTTCTCAGCAATAAAAAGAAATAAATCTTTGACAAACGTAGCAACATGGATGCATTTGGCAGATATTATGTTGAATGAAGAAAGTCAGACTCAAAAGGATGATACCGTATGAGTCCACTTTTGTGAAATTCTAGTACAGGCGAAACTAAGCTGTGGTGACAGAAGTCAGATCGGTGGTTACCTGGGGGCAGGAGGAAGCTTTCTGGGGTGCTGGAAATGTTCTTTATTTTGACTGGGGTGATGGTTTTACAGGGACGTATGTTTGTCAAAACACATCAAACTGTGCACTTAAAATGGGTGCATAGTATTTCATGTAATTTATATCTCTTCTACTGAAAGGGTTCTGAGAAAAAAGAAAATACAGTGACTGACCAGAGTGGCTGAGAGGGCCTAGGAGAGGGCAAGCCGATCCGGGTGGGTACCCTTGTATGAGGTGACTGGATATCTGTGACGACTGTGCATTCCCCGGCAGGCTCTGCACTCCCTAGGGGCCTGTCATCATGGCCCGCCCCGTCCCAGAACCCGTCACACAGGATGGCACCAAGAAATGGCTTCTCATTGCAGTGGCTTCTCTTGTTGCAGAGCACGGGCTCTAGGTGCGCGGGCTTCAGTAGTGGCGCGTGGGCTTCAGGAATTGTGGCTCGCGGGAACGCAGTCTCAGTAGTTGTGGCACACGGGCTTAGTTGCTCCATGGCATGTGAGATCTTCCTGGACCGGGGCTCGAACCCCTGTCCCCTGCGTTGGCAGGCGGATGCTGTTTTTTTTTGTTTGTTTGTTTTTTTGTGGTACACGGGCCTCTCACTGTTGTGGCCTCTCCCGTTGCGGAGCACAGGTTCCGGACGCGCAGGCTCAGCGGCCATGGTGCACGGGCCCAGCCGCTCCGCGGCATGTGGGATCTTCCCGGACCGGGGCACGAACCCGTGTCCCCTTCATCGGCAGGTGGACTCTCAACCACTGCGCCACCAGGGAAGCCCGGCAGGTGGATTCTTAACCACTGAGCCACGAGGGAAGCCCCCTCTGGACACTTTTAATTTGCATTTCTCTAGTTATGAGTGAATCAAACTTGGGTTTTTTGCATGTGTAAGAGCCATTTGCATTTCCTTCTCTGAGAACTGACTTTTCACGTCCTTCACATATTTTTTTCTATTGTTGATTTAAAAAAATTAATATCTAAGAATACGTATATTCAGGAAATTAATCTTGAAATGTGAGTTATGAATTTTTTTTCTGGTTTGTCATTTGTCTTTTGCTTTGCTTTTTTGCCATACAGATTTTCCTTTTAGAACCTGCTGTTTTTCTCCTTGAAAATATAAATGTAGTGAATGACAGTAGCAGGGTCTATGATGCTCACCATTCTTAGATGTAGTGGGATGTGCCTTTCTTGGTCATGGTGTTTTGATCTTTTGATAAACCTCTGGATTCATTTTATTAATATTTTATTTGGGATTTTGGCCTTGATTTTCATAAATAGAATTGACCTCTTGTTTTTATTTCATTTTATTTTTTGTGTTATTCTTTATTGTTTCCTAATGAATGCATTTAAAGCTATAAATTTTTCTCTGGGGATCACTTCATACACATCCCCAAAATATTGCTCTAGTTTGTATCCATTTCTAATTAGCTGGTTGTTTCAGTTTCAAGTTCCTCTTTAATCCAAGAATTATTTTATTTTATTAAAAATATTTATTTATTTGGTTGCATCTGGTCTTAGTTGCGGCAGGCGGGCTCCTTAGTTGCAGCATGCGAACTCTTAGTTGTGGTGTGCAAACTCTTAGTTGTGGCATGCAAAGTCTTAGTTGCGGCATGCATGTGGGATCTAGTTCCCTGACCAGGGATCAAACCTGGGCCCCCTGCATTGGGAGCGCAGAGTCTTATCCACTGCGCCACCAGGGAAGTCCCCCAAGAATAATTTTAAAAAGGTATTTTTACATTTTTAATTAGATAAATTTTGGACTGTACATTGTGGTTAGTTTCTAATTTATGTATTTTATTCAGAGAATAGTTCTATATGTTCTGCTTTCTGGAATTTGTTAAGATTTGTGTCCTAATAAACAGAGAGTCAATTTTTGTAAATGTTCCATGTGTGTTTAAAAAGACTGAATGCTTTCTCTTATTTGTTGGGTACAAAATTTATCTATGTATCCATTATATATCTTATTAAGCATGTAATTTTAACCCTCTGTATACTTATCTTTTTTTACTTGATATATTTGACTTATTAAAACAGGTATATTAAAGCTACTCACTAAGGTTTTATTTATTTATTTTTGGCTGTGTTGGGTCTTCATTGCTGCGCACAGGCTTTCTGTAGTTGTGGTGAGCGGGCGTTACTCTTTGTTGTGGTGCGCGG